GCTGCTGTGTGCTGCTGCTCAGCCGGGCGTGGCCAAAGTGGAGGCCCCCGGCATGTGGCTTTTCCTTTTTTGCCCTGGGGAGGGGGGGGCATGAGAAGTTGCCAGGCCCCCCGGGGGGGCTCCACGCGGCGGGGGGGGGACACAGCTATGCTGAGATTCCCTGTTCACTTCTCCCGGGACCTGCTGAGTACTCTTAACGCGGGAGCCAATTCCTTTATGACAGCGCACGGGGGGGGGGGTTGCTGTTCCCCTCCCCTTTCACATCAAGGAGGAGCGGGGGGGGGGATTTCCCCGGGGTTCTTGGGAGGGGGACGGGCTTTCCCACGCAGTTCCTTCCCACGCCTTGAGTGTCTCCTGAAGGAGCTCTCTGTGACCGCAGCCCGGGCCAGATCGACTTCTCCATGGAGCTCTGGGGTTGGTCGAGGTGCTGCTCCCGGGGCCCTTCCCGCTTCCCAGGGTTGGTTCTCCTGGGCCCTTCCGTGTGCACTCCACCCTCGACCGGTGGCCCCTCTTTCCTCAAGCGTGTGCTTGCTTGTGGGCCTCTGTGTTCCCCCCGACTGTGGGGCTCTGCTGCCTCCAGTTGTGCCAGTCTTCTTCGCTTTTCCTCTTGCTCCCCCAGCCCAGGAGGGCTTTGGGAGCTCAGTTGTAGGGAGCCCCCCGCCCCCAGCATGCCTCTCTGTCCCTGGACTCATGCAGAGGCTGAGGTGGCCTATGGAGTGTGGCCCTGCAGCTTCCCCACCACCACCACCACTCCCGTTTTCTCAGCCAAACGTCCATGCTCCCAGTTGGGGGGGGGGGGAGCAGGCAGGCAGGAGGCTGGGTATCCCCCTCCCACGCTCGGTCTGAGACTCATGACTCACCTCCCCTGCCCAAGCAGAAGGTGTGCATGTCTCTACCTGGTGGAGTTTGTACAATACCACACGGGGAGGAAAGGGAACGCCTGGCTTGGGTCAGAAGGGTCTGGTCCATCTCGGGGTGGGGGGAAGCGATGCCCCTGTGGCGCCCGAGAGGTGCTCCCGAGGGCTGGGCTGGACCTCCCTCTTCCTCCTTCCCCCTGCAGGCTCCTACCCGTCGCCCAAGGCCGGGGCCACCCTGGTGGTGTACAAGGACTTGCTGGTGCTCTTTGGGGGCTGGACGCGCCCCAGCCCGTACCCCCTGCACCAGCCCGAGAGGTTCTTTGACGAGATCCACACGTACTCGCCCTCCAAGAACTGGTGAGCGCGACCACGGGGGAGGGCCACCTCTGTCTCGGGGGCTTCCTCCAGCCGGCCGGGGGGGGGGCAGCGCGTGACTGACGAGAGGGCTCTGGGGTCCTTTGTGTCCTCCCCCCCCCAGGTGGAACTGTGTCGTGACAACCCACGGCCCCCCGCCCATGGCTGGCCATTCCTCCTGCGTCATCAAGGACAAGATGATCGTCTTCGGGGGCTCCCTTGGGTCTCGGCAAATGTAAGTCTCTCCCTGCTGCCACCCTTCCCCCCCCCCTCCTGCCACCCTTTCTCTCCAGGGGCCAGGGCAACCCACCTGTTGGCCGCGGAACCTTTGAGCTCTCACAGGAAGCCCGCGGAGCCTTTTGGCCACGCTCTGCACAAGGAACCGGCCGCTTTTCAGGGCTCTCCGTGATTGCAGTGTTCCCCTGAAACCAGCCCTGCCCACCGCAACCAGAAGTGTGGGGGAAGGGTGTAGAAAGAAACAGATCTTTCCTTGTTGTCAATTTCCCGGGCTGCGTGGCCGTTGGTCTTGGCATCGTAGGACCTGACATTTCGCCAGCCGCTGTGACTGGCATCTTCAGAGGTGTGACACAGAAAGATGCGAGTACTCCCTGCGTCAGTGAAACAGATCTGTGTGCCCAGGCCGCAAGAAGCGTGGTGGGCACCTTGGGAGGGTGTCAGGTGGTAGGAAGCGACATGGGTGGCGGGGAGGCCACGTCTCGCTGCTGGGTCTGCCGCTGGTGTTGGAAGCAGCTGGTCTCTCCTCACAGGAGCAATGACGTCTGGGTGCTGGACCTGGAGCAGTGGGCCTGGTCCAAGCCAAACATCTCTGGCCCCGGCCCCCACCCCCGCGGGGGCCAGTCCCAGGTAAGGGTCTCTTCCTCTAGAACTGGGCCTCTGGGGCGGCGCTGGCGGCAGGCCTGGCCCCGGTCCCTTTTAGGCCACTCCCGGGCGGGCAGGCATGCGCAGCCATCGGCCTGGAGGGGTGGGCATGCGCAGCCCCTGCCCCGAAGGTGAGCTGGAAGGAGCCAGAGAACGAGCTGCTGAGGGAGGGGCTCAGGGGCTGGACTCCTGTGCACACACACACACACCCTCGCTTCCTGAGCCCAAGGCTGCCTCCGCAGATGCTGGGGTCCAGAGTGGGGGGGCCGGAGTGGGGGTGCCCCCCCCGCCCGGGGGGGGGGGGGAGCTTACCCAGGGGAGGGGCAGAGGGGATGTGCTCCCAATGGGGCGGCAGGAGGCCTCCCTGGGACCTTCCAAGTGCGATGATGCGTGGCCTCTGCCACTGAAGGGAGGGGCCCTGATCCTGCCCCAGAGGTTCTCTTCAGCCCTGTTAGGCGGGGGAAGGAGGGGAGGAGACTCTCAGCCGGAGGGAGGGAGGGAGGGAGGGGAGGAGGAGGCCCCTCCTGAGGGCAGGCAGCACTCCCAGCGAGACCATCAGGCCTGTACTCCCATCAGTGCTCCCCCCCCTCCACCACCCCCCTCCAGAGGGGCAGGCTGCTTCTGGCTGCAGTCCCCGTGGCTAAGTGGTGAGGGACTTGCCCCCCCCGCCCCCTCCCCCGGTCTGGGGCTCTCTGCCCTTTCCTCCAGTGCCTCTTCCTTTCTTCCAGATTGTCATAGATGAGGAAACCATTTTGGTCCTGGGGGGCTGCGGTGGTCCCAATGCGGTGAGTAGGTGGATGGGGGCAAGCCTCGTTCTGGGCCGGGCAGCCTCCCTTGGGGAGGAGCGGTCTCTTTCTTAAGAAACAAAAGCTGCCTGCCCGGGGCGGGGCTTGACTTCCTGCTCCACGCCCCCCTTCCTTGTCTTCGTCCCTGTGACAAACAGCTGCCTTAGGTAAAAGGGCACTGCTCCCCTCCCCCCCCCCACTAACCTCTGGTGCTTCCGCAGCTGTTCAAAGACGCCTGGCTGCTGCACATGAGTTCTTCTGAGCCGTGGACGTGGCAGCCGCTGAGAGTGGAGAACGAGGACCAGGGGGCCCCGGAGCTCTGGTGCCATCCGGCTTGCAGGGTGAGGGCCGGGGGTTCCCCGCAGAGCCACGACTCGCCATCCCTCATCCCGTTTCACAGGGAGGGTGCAGCGGGGTGGGGCTGGAGGGGGGGGTCCTCGTAGCTGAGCAGAGACATGGGGGCTTGGGGGGTGTCCCGCCCTCTCCGGAGCCCGTGGGGGCTGCTCTTGCTCCACAGGCTGCTCGGGAGGGGGGTCCCCCCCCCAAGCCGTCAAGAGGACCTGCACCAGGGAGAGACTTCCTGCAGTGGCCCCGCTCAGAAGGTGCGGCGCAGTCCAAAGCGGGCTGCTCCACTCTCCTCCGTGGGAGAGTCGTGATTTTGTGCCGGTCTCTGTTCTCCGACAGGTGGGCCAGTGCGTGGTGGTCTTCAGCCAGGCCCCCAGCGGGAGAGCCCCTCTGAGCCCCAGCCTGAACTCCCGTCCCTCTCCCATCAGCGCCACACCGCCGGCCCTGGCTCCCGAGACCCGGGAGTATCGTTCCCAGTCTCCAGTCCGGACCACGGATGAGGCCCCCTGCGTGAACGGCCGCTGGGGAACCCTGAGGCCCCGGGTGCATCGGCAGACCCCTTCGGGCTCCCGGGAAGGGAGCCTCTCGCCGGCCCAAGAGGATACTTCCCCCGTGCTGAACGGCAGTGAGGGCTTATCTCCTGGAACCTCTTTGGAAAGCCCCGTCCAAGCGGACTCTCCCAGCACACCTGCCACTGCCGCAGCCGCCGCAGGATGTGACCTCAAGATTGGCATTTCCCCAGCACCGAGGCGGGGCTCCCTCCCTGACCAGAGGGACCTGAGGCTGGCACCCGCAGACTTGAACTGGGAGCCCAAGCCACCTCCCCTCCTCTCTCAGCTGGACGGCACGGAGAGCAGCAGGACGGTTGGCAGCGGCCTCAGGAACCCTCCAGAACAGACCAACGGTGCCCATACCCCGCCTCATGTTGCCAGCGCCTTGGCAGGGGCAGTCTCTCCAGGGGCACTGCGGCGAGGCTTGGAGGCGGTGAGAGTCCTTCCTCCCAAGCCGCCGGGGCCTGCCCTGGCAGTGCTGAGTCCCCCCACCGCCGCCGCCACGGCCTCACCAGGGTCGCCCGGCAGCCAGGGCCCCGGCCCCGTGGAGGCGGCCCCCGCCCCTCGCCCCGGCTCTGCCCAAGGGGACGGGCACTCCCTGCCTCCCATCGCACGCCGCCTGGGCCACCACCCGCCCCAGTCGCTGAACGTCGGCAAGCCCTTGTACCAGAGCTTGAACTGCAAGCCCATGCAGATGTACGTGCTGGACGTCAAGGACACCCGGGAGAAGGGGCGCGTCCAGTGGAAAGTGTTCCACGGCAGCTCTGTGGTCGGGCCGCCCGAGACCAGCCTCCACACGGTGGTGCAGGGCCGGGGCGAGCTGATCATCTTTGGCGGCCTCATGGACAAGAAGCAGAACGTCAAGTACTATCCCAAAACCAATGCCTTGTACTTCGTGCGAGCAAAAAGATGATGCCGCCAGGAGGGTTCTCTTCCCACCCCCACCCCGCTTCTGCTGACACAGTGTGACACCCCCCACCCACCCTTGGCACTCTGTCGAGCAGGCTGTGAGTCTGGGGCTCCTCCCGTCAATAAAAGGATCTAAGCAAACGGCACCGGTGCTTCCCTTCCCTCCGCTCCCAGCTTGACCGAGGAAGCTGACCCTTTTCAAAGAGAAGGCTGGCCACGACAGCTGTGGCGGAGTGGGAGGGGGGCGTCTTGGAGCATGAGCTTTGCAGAGAAGAGCACCGTTCTTCTTCCCGCAGGGAGAAGGGGGGGGGGCTGGCTGGGTGCCACTCACACGGTAGCAGGGAAGTGAGGAATCTGCTGGTAGCAACAGCCCGCTCCCACCAGCAGTGCCCTTTTCAGCCACGATTCCCTGCCCTGTCTCTGAAGTTTCCCGGCAGAGAGACAGCCAGGGGCTGCATCTGGCCACCCCCTGAAGCCTTGGCTCCCTGAGCTCACCTGGCAAGCAAGAGAGGAAGACTCTGTAGGAGGCTGGGCCAAGGCAGCTGGGTGCTGGGCGGCCTCTTCAAGGCGCTACCCAAAGCAGGCTGGCATCGGTGGGTAGGGGCGTGTGAGGAACCCTTCTCAGGTAAAGGGAACTTCAGGAGCCCAAACCTTTCCCAGCAGGTATGAAAGAATGGCACCAATAGCGGGGTTTAAAAATGAAATAAGAGGAAAGATTTATTCTTCATGAAAGGCAGGGAAATGGGGAAAAGGTTTTACTAGAACAAACAGTTGGCAACCAACAAGTGCCCGCTACAAACACCATACACAATGTTTAGGCTTTCCCAAACTCAGGAAGAACAAATAGAAACTATAAACCCTATCAGAAGGTTCCTTACAATAAGCAGGCAGTTGTGATACTAGTGAATTCATACCCCCCATAAACCAGGGTTCCCCTGATTAGGCTCTGAATCCCAACTAGTCCCTGTGTGAGTGGATGTCTGTCTCTTTTTGAACCCGGGTCTGACCTGTTACTCTGGCCCTGGATGCATTCCATTGTCATGGAAGTGACCAATCAGAGTGAGCCTCTGCTACGTACTACTTCCCCTCGAGAGTGTTTTTCCGTAGATCATCACAGGGCGCTCTGCCCACAGTGGGTCTGTGCATTGTGAAGGTGCCCTGTGACTCACCACTGCTCTGCCGGAGCCCGGGAGGGGATTCCCCAGTGCAGGGGGGGGGGAGAAGAGGTCTGTGTGTGGTGGGGGGCCCCACCGGGGGGGGGGGGGGGGAGAGAGGAGCAAGGCAGGGGTGGAGCCTTGGGAGGAAAGCAGCCCTAGAAGTCCTGAGTGACTTCCCTGTCTGTGGTTCCCCCCCCCTCCCTGGAGCATTTCCCCCCTCTGCTCCAGGGGCAGTCCTCTGGGCAATAAGCCACTCATTCCAAGGCCCCGGTTTGTTCCCTGAATACCCAGAACAGCTGGGGGGGGGTTCTCTCCTCCTCCCCCACCCCAGGCAGGCCTCCCACTGAGCTACTGGGGGCCTGGCCCTCCTCCAGCTGAGGGGGGTCGGGGGGGTGTTAGGAGGACAGACCTTGCAGTCGTGGTGGGGCAACTCGGTGTGCAGCGGCAATAAAAACGGCAAGTGCTCGGCTGGGGATTATGAGGAAGGGGACGGAAAACAAATCAGCCGGTATCATAATGCCCCCGTATCATTCTATGGCACCACGGCCTCATTTGGGATACTGTACAGTTCAGATCAATGCACCTCAAAAAAGGTAACACTGGGAAAGGTGAAGAAAGGACAACAAAAATGATTGAGATGGACACCTTCCCTATGAAGAAAGGTTAAAGAGCTTAGGGCTCTTCAGCTTGGAGGAACAAAAAATGAGGGGTGACATGACTGAGGTTTACAAAATCATAGGCAGAGAAGGTAAAGAAGTACTTTTCTCCCTTTGTCACAGTGCAAGAACTCCTGGGCACTCAATGAAGTTAATAAGCAGTTGGTTTAGAAGGGATAAAAGGAAGTACTTCTTCACCCAAAGAGTGATTAACCCATGGAATTCACTGCTGCAGGAAGTGGTGGCAGCTGCAAGCGCAGACAGCTTTAAGGGGGGAACTGGATAAATATATGGAGCCGTCAGTGGCTCTTAGCCACAAGCATAGATGGAACACTCTGTCTGGGGCAAGGGATGCTCTGTGTTCTTTATTTATAATTTCAATTTATAGCCCGTCCTCCCCGCAACAGCGGGCTCAGGGCAGCTCACAAACAGGTAAAGCCAACACATAAAACAGATTAAAACCATCACTACTATGTTACAACATAATTACAACCTATTAAGTGCTCTAGATGTTCAAACAAGATCTTCCATAAAGATGACGTCTCAAGGACGGTACACCCAATCAGAGCTGCTAGTTCCATGAGGCGCTGTTGTTCTCTCTTCCCAGGGCCAGAAGCTAGTGATGGCAAAATAGTTGCGGCTCCTACTCAAAAGCCTGGCGGAAGAGCTCCGTCTTGCAGGCCCTGCGGGACTGCACAAGGTCCCACAGGGCCCAGATCTCCTCCGGGAGCTCTTTCCACCAGGTAGGAGCCACCACCGTAAAAGGTCTGGCCCTAGTATCAGCCAGCCTGGCCTCCTTGAGGCCTGGAATTGTCAGATGTTGCATCCTCGACCGTAGTGCCCACAAGGGAACATTTGGGGAAAGACGGTCCCTTAGGTATGTTGGACCCCGGCCATATAGGGCTTTAAAGGTAAGAACCAGCACTTTGAAGCGAATCCGGTACGCTATTAGCAGCCAGTGCAGTGTTCAGCACAGGCTGGATGTGGTCCCGACTAGGAAGACCCATCAACAGCCTGGCCCCAGCAAATCTGCACCAGCTGCAGCTTCCAGATTTGCGACAAGGGCAGCCCCATGTAGAGAGCGTTACAGTGGTCTAGTCTCGAGGTGACCATCGCACGGATCACTGTGGCCAAGTCATTGCGGTCAAGGAAGGGAACCAACTGGCGAGCTCGCCGAAGATGGTAAAAAGCTGACTTACCAGTGGCTGCCACCTGGGCCTCCCAAACTCCTAACTTCCGGCGCTGGCACCAAAGGTACCCCATTGAAGGTTGGGAGAGGGAGCCCCAGACCGCCCCGACTCAGGCCCAGGACCTCCGTCTTTGCCGGGTTTAGCTTCAGCCAACTCAGTCGAAGCCAGCCAGCCACAGCCTGCAATGCCAGGTGCAGATCTTCTGGACTAGAGCCCGACCGGCCACCCAACATCAGATAGAGCTGGGTGTCATCTGCATATTGGTGACACCCCAGCCCGTGCCTCCGGGCCAGGGGGCACTTGGAGGGGGGGGCACAGTGGTCGGGCTTCTGGAGTTCTAGCTCTGCTGGTGGACCTCCAGATGGCACCTGGGTTTTGGCCACTGTGTGACAGGAAGTGTTTCCTTAAAATCTTTCCTTAAAATCTGCCTCCATTCCTGAGGATTGGAAGGTAGCTAATGTCACTCCCATCTTTAAAAAGGGTTCCAGAGGAGATCCGGGAAATTACAGGCCAGTCAGTCTGACGTCGATACCGGGTAAATTGGTGGAAACCGTTATTAAGGAAAGAATTAGTAGGCACATAGATGAACAAAACCTATTGAGGCAGACTCAGCACGGTTTCTGTAAGGGAAGATCTTGTCTCACTAACCTGTTAGTGTTCTTTGAGGGGGTGAACAAACATGTGGACAAGGGGGATCCAATAGATATTATTTACCTTGACTTCCAGAAAGCTTTTGATAAAGTTCCTCATCAAAGGCTCCTAAGTAAGCTCAAAAATCATGGGATAGAAGGACAAGTCCTTTTATGGATCAAAAACTGGCTAGTTCATAGAAAACAGAGAGTGAGTGTAGGTGGGCAATTTTCTCAGTGGAGGGTGGTAAGCAGTGGGGTACCGCAGGGATCAGTACTTGGTCCACTGCTTTTTAACTTGTTCATTAATGATTTGGAGATGGGAGTAAGCAGTGAAGTGGCTAAATTTGCAGATGATACAAAGTTGTTCAGGGTGGTGAAAACCAGTGAGGATTGTGAGGCACTCCAAAGGGATCTGTCAAGGATGGGCGAGTGGGCGTCAACATGGCAAATGGGGTTCAATGTGGCCAAGTGCAAGGTGATGCACATTGGAGCCAAAAATCCTAAATATAAATACACATTGATGGGGTCTGAACTGGCAGAGACTGAGCAAGAGAGAGATCTTGGAGTTGTAGTGGATAACTCACTGAAAATGTCGAGACAGTGTGTGACTGCAATAAAGAAGGCCAATGCTATGCTGGGGATTATTAGGAAGGGTATTGAAAACAGATCAGCCAATATAATAATGCCCCTATATAAATCAATGGTGAGACCTCATTTGGAATACTGTGTGCAGTTCTGGGCACCACACCTTAAAAAGGATATTATAGCTTTGGAAAAAGTGCAGAAAAGGGCAACTCGAATGATAAAAGGGTTGGAACACTTTCCCTATGAGGAAAGGTTAAAGCGCTTAGGGCTCTTTAGCTTGGAGAAAAGACGACTGAGGGGTGACATGATCGAGGTTTATAAGATTATGCATGGGAAAGAGCAGGTAAAGAAAGAGGTACTTTTCTCCAGGACGTCCTTCTTCACCCAAAGAGTGATTAACACTTGGAATTCACTGCCACAGGAAGTGGTGGGTGCTACAAGCATGGATGGCTTCAAAAGGGAATTAGATAAGCATATGGAGCAGAGGTCCATCAGTGGCTATTAGCCACAAGGTATAGCTAGGGGCTCTGGGGCAAGTGATGCTCTGTCTTCTTGGTGCTTGGGGGGGGTCAACAGTGGGAGGGCTTCTAATGTCCTGGCCCCACTGCTGGACCTCCTGATGGCACTGGTATTTCTGGCCACTGTGTGACACAGAGTGTTGGACTGGATGGGCCTTTGGCCTGATCCAACATTGGCGTCTCTTATGTTCTTATGTTCTTATGGCTTCTCTTTCGTTCTTAGGAGGAGGCCACCAGGACACAGGCAAGGATCCACCGGACTCAGCCATGGCTGTTTTGAGCCAGTAGCTGGGCCACAGCCTGTGGGCATAGGGGCTAGCAGCTACACGAGAAAGTGGCCTCGGGCTGCCCCTGGGTGAAGCTGTGATGCTGGAGAACATCCACCTGCTCCCTACTGCTGCACGGGAAGGACCCCCGGGGTGGGGTGCGCTGCTCACTCGCTTTCCACTGCAAGCAATGCTATGAAGGGGCTTTGCTTACAATGCTATGGAACAGGGGTTTGTGTTGCAGCTTTAGACAAACCTTGCAGAGCTGGTCACTGAGTCTGTTTTTTTGAAAAAGGGGGGGGGGGGGGGGACTGGGAGCAAACTCCTATCTGATAATGTCGGGCAAGAGGTCTCAGAAAGGCCAGGCAGGAAACCTTCCTTGGGTCTGCGCAGGCATGGAGAGAGATGCCTGGCACACCCTACGCCGAGTTGGTGTGAGCCAGCTCACAGTTTCTTAGCCTCCGGCTCACACATTTTTGCCTTAGCTCAGGAAGGAGGGCTCCAGAGCAAACTAATTTATGCAGGTGCCAAATCGCTCGCTCACAGCTTTAATGCCAGGAGCTCACAAAGTGGAGTTTTTGCTCACCAGACTCCGCAGCTCAGAGGGAGCATTGCCTGGCACCCTCGGGTTGGGGAGTGGATTGGGGGGGGGGGGGGGGGGGGGGGGTCCGGCCACCTTGCTGCCTGACCTTTGGCCTTAATGCGAGTGAGACTGTGCTGCTCAGTTCCCCGCCCCCCCCCTTGGTGCCCTTGCTGCCGCAGGGGGGGGGCTATCATGCTCTCTCTCGCCGGCGGGGGGGGAGTTCTTGCCTGGCCGGATTGGGTTAGCGCGGGGCCCGATACCGTCGGGCTGGCCGTACGGCTGCCCGCCCTTCAGTGTAGGCCGTGCTCCGGCGGGACCTTTACCGGTTGCCCTTGGAATAGTACCCCCTC